CGGGCGCTGCATCTAAAGCCACATCAACCATTTCAGACAATTGCAATAAATCAAACGAAAATCCAACGGCAGGTCGAGTGCGCCCAAAACCTTCGCCCACGCCATCATATCGTCCACCATAAGCAATAGGATTGGTTACAGAATTGACCTTATTTAGCCCCTGAACATAGACCGTGAACATAAGTCCAGTATGGTAATGATAACCACGCAAATCAGCCAAATCAAGATGAAGCTTTAGGTTTAAATGGGGTTGCTGCTGTTGAAACTGGTGTTTCAGCCAATCGACCATCGTTTCCAGTTCAGCTAGAGCCTTTAAACTGTTGGTGCTGTTTGGACAGTCTTGGAAAATTGTTTTCGCTTTCGTTAAAACTGTGCCTGAATCTCCATATAAACTAGGTAATGCTCTTAAAGCTGTTTGTAATGGCTGAGGTACATTTTGTAACAAGGCAGCCAAAGTCGATTGATCTTTAGCTTGTAAGGCGACTAAAACCGCATTTTCAGTAACTTGATCCAATTGGCAGTCATCAAGCAATGACTCAACAAGGCCAGCGTGACATAAGTCAATCAATAAATGAGATAAACCCACCTTACCTAATGCAGTTAACAACAAAGCCAACGACTCTTGATCTGCCTCAATCTGATCACAACCAAACATTTCTGCACCCATTTGAATCATTTCACGCGAGCCAAGTAAGTGTGTCGGCTGTGTACGCAAAACAGATCCACAGTAACATAAGCGGTTAATTTCATTGTTTTTCAACAAATGTGCATCAATTCGAGCCGCCTGAGGTGTCATATCGGCACGTACACCTAACGTTTTTCCTGATAATTGATCGACCAAGGTAAAGGTTTGTAACTCGAGATCTGAGCCACCGCCAATCAAAAGAGAATCAAGATATTGAATCATCGGAGGAATAACTGGCTCATAACCATAAGACAAAAAATGCGCCAATAATTGACTACGTAATTTCTCAATGTGTTTGGCTTGTTCTGGCAAGACATCAGCAATTGCTTCTGGTAACTGCCACGGAATAGATGGATAAGACATGGTCAAATTTTTAGACATACAATAGAGCTATTATCTCATGAATAGCTATTGGACACGGGAAAATATATACGCATTTTATATACATCACGACCAGAACCGATAAAAAACAACGAATACCAGTTCTCCATCCAAGTGCTACACGAAATGGCGACGAAGACATAACTATAGTCAGGCTAGGAGCCATGACAAAATAGCACTTTGATGGAGAGTTGATATAAATCGTATGCTATTGTATTAGATCCATATCCATCGTCACGCTTGTTGGCATTTGCGTTAAGCGATGAAGATACTCTCTTTGCCTGAAACAACAAGAAAAAGCCACTGTATATCCATTTTCAGTTCATTGGATTTCGATCATACAAAAAGGGGACATTATCCCCTTCTTAAGTAGGTATTGACGCATACCTATAGTTTTATATATTGATAAAATCAATAGTTTATTGCATCACCTTCAATCTAAAAACACCACTCGGTGGATTTTGAGTATCGGTTATTTTGGGATCATTTGACTGAGGTTTACTAGAATCCCATACACCAATAGCAACATCACAACCTGAACCACTTTGGCATAGACTGTTGGCCGTTAGTTTCCATTGAGTACTTGAAATTCTTTCAACGGTAACAGGATTATCAACACTACCATCACCCTTAATGACATTGGTCCAAGACTGGACAACAGGTTGGAAGTTTCTGGTTCCACCACGCCATGACACAAGAACTTCTTTGGGAGCTCCATTAGCTGAAGATGCACTAATCGAGGTGATATTATTAGAATCAAAGGTAAAAGCGGTAGTGGGTGCTGTTTTAAACTTCCAGCTGGTGCTATAAGGTTTACCATCCAAATTACCACTTACGCTGACTGTATACTCAGTATCAGCCGTTAAAGGTGCTTTTGGAATTAAAGCCGCTGCATATTTAGTTTTACTCATATTGGCATCACTCAAACTATCATTCTTATAAAAATCAATAGCTTGTCCAGATGCACTTTTAATGCTTGCAGATGTCACTGTTAAAATTTGATCTGGGTCTGCCGTTTGCACACTGATGGGGTAACCGACCAAAGCACCGAACTGTGGGACAGGTGTTGGGTATTCTCTAGCATACCAGTCAATTTTACTGCTAGATGAACCGTGAGGCGGATAAACAATCAGTTTATTGGCTCCCAAAGAAGGTGCTTTATCTGACATCATTGCGACAAACGAACGATCCCCATCGTTACACGTTTGCTGTGAAACTTGATAAAACCCAGCTCCTGCTGTCGAAAAATTGGTAAAAATACCCATACGGTGGTAAACCGCATCGATAAGACTATCAATCGCATCTCCAGCATGTGGGTGGAATTGCACCGTAAAGACCTCTCCTACGTAATTACTGGTCAAACCAGCTTTCGTTAAACGATCAGCTGGCGTTGTTGCATAATAAGCTGAACTTGCGGCATTTTCGTCATGCCCACGATCGCATTTTTTCTCTGTCTCGTTTGGCAATGTGAAGGGTGTTAAAGCGTATTGTGCATGTTTTCGAGCTGCAATTTTATGCGCTTCACCCACTTTTAAGGCCGGTAAACCAATCGTTTGACGCCTAAAATTCATCCAGTTTAAAGCATCACTTTCAATGTCTGTCCCTGACAATTGCGGAGCGGCCAAACTACTGTTAGTTGGTAACAAAGTGACGCTGACACCTCCATCTGGAGCTGGTGCTGGAGCTGGTGCTGGTGCTGGTGCTGGTGCTGGTGCTGGTGCTGGTGCTGGAGCTGGAGCTGGAGCTGGAGCTGGAGCTGGTGCTGGTGCTGGGGTTGGAGCTGGAACGGGTCTTGAACGTGTAGGAGCTGGAGATGTATCTGGCGCTGGTGATGGTGCTGGTGGTGTACTACTGCTGGAAGTTGAGCTGTCACCACCTCCACCACAAGCAACTAGCACACTTATACTGGCAAAGATCGTAATATTTTTTAATGCTGCGCCTGAATGAATCAACGTTTTCATATTGTTCTCCTACTATTATGTTTACAGCCAGCCTCCTTACACAAAATTGATTTTCTTCTAAAGTAGTGTAATAAGACCAATTCAATCTGTTACAACGCACAGACTGCTTTAACTCAGAATAGCAGTTTTAAAAAGAAAATTAAGTTATCGTTTGTACTTATTTAGCCTTTTTATGACACATCATCATAAAACGTATTATCAACTCTACTAATTCATCAATTGCTCAACGTGATATGCGTATTAATTTGAAAGCAATTTGCGAGACAATGCTAACCAAATGATGTGTCATCAAGATACATTTGATTTTGTATCTTGTGTTTTAAACTTAAATCAAGTATTGATGAGAGTACCAATCAACTGTCAAACTAGACTTTAACCATGATTTTTTGTTCACATTTTATTTTGATGGTAAGTCGTTGGCATGTTATATCAACCGTAACAACAAGAGCATTCAAGTGTACAGACCTGAGTG